GCCATAAAGGGCTCGTTGTGTGCGGGTGATATCCGCACCAATGTTCAGTCCACCATGGCCAAGTCCTAGGGCCGAATCGGATTACTATTAATTGTAGTACGTCGGAGACAACTAAAAGCGAGGGTGCGAGTTACGCTCGCCATTACGGCCACGGTGGGGCGAACCCACTACCGAAATGGTCGAACGAGGTACGATCCCTCGATCGGCTTGAAGGCACGGTCCTTAGGCAAACAAACACAATCATAAGAACAAGAATCCCAACAACCCAACATAAGAGCTAAGACAAGACCACACGAATGGAGTAGCACATATCCATAGCGAGGGGGATGGGTAGACCTGCACAAGGGCACGGTGCAGACATATATAGATAGATCAAGATCACGTATTGTAAGTGTACAAACGAGTATAAGAATGAGCAGGAAGGGGGCTTTCGTCGGTGGACGGTTGTTGTTGCCGGACTCAGCTACGGTGGTGGCTCGGACACGCGGCTCAGCGTAGGCCTGCCTATGGGCACGCAAACGGTGGAGGCGGTGTGGTTCCGAGGCTCACACGACGGCGTGCGAAGGCACAGCCATGCGTCACCACATGCAAGTGCGCGTGCACAAGTCCACGGATCATGGCGTGTGTCCACAAATGGCGGGGGTGAAGCAAGGCCGGTCTCTAGGGATGGTATGCGGGCGTGAGTCCGTGCGATAGCTATGGTCATGAACGCGGTGGCAAGGTTAGAGATCATGATGGTGTAGGAAACAGTTAAAAAGTGCGTGGTGACGGACTCGTCACGGCATCACGCCATGGTCCATGGCAGCGGGTCCGCGCCAACCACGCGGCCACGGTGTTCTTGTGCTTGTGTTGGGCAAGGTGGGCTCTGTTTCCATGGGCGCGCTTACACCGTGGCGGCGCGGACAAGGGCGTGCTTCTATGGTTTTCGCCTACATGGGTGGTGCTCTGTACGTGCTGGTTCGTGTGACTGTGGCTTCGGCGAGACAGAGACGGGCTTGACATTGCGACGCTAGAGCTAGGCGTGGTGGTCGCAATCCTATTGGAGGCGAGGAGGACTCGGTGGTCTTTGGCTTGGCGGGTGGCTGGGGTAGCAAGGCAGAGGACGTGCCGGTGCGGAACAAGGCCACGGTGGCGCCTGAGAACGTGGCCACCTGTTGGAAAAAGCCAATGGTTCAAGCTTGTGTTCGTGTGGGCGCACGGGCACTTGGCCGCCATGCGTGTGCCTCAACCGGCAGCCGTGGCGAGCGGTGGTGCTCTTCTTAGGTGCTCGTGTGCTGGTGTGCGTGTGGTTGTGTTGTGCATGTGCGTGTAGCTACAGGAAGGCCTCAGCGGTGGCATGCTGGTGCTCAGCCATGCGTGCCAGTGTGCCAGGAGCTGTGCATGTTGAGGTCTGAGGCAAGGCAAAAGGCCATGTTCCTAGGGCAACGGCGGCAGAACAACGTGCGTACATGACCATGGGTGCGTGTGAGGTTCGTGGGTGCTCGCGATGGTGCACCGTAGCGGTGGCTGTCTGGCGGGAGCGCGTCTTTGTCATGGCCGTGGCGACCGACGGAGCGGCCCATGGTGGTGCGCCGGATCGAGTCGTGGGTGGCGGTGATAGCGGTGTGTCCGCAATAAGGCGTAATGTGTCGAAAGTCAGTGGGCGAGGTGACGCCACGGGCTCTGGGTCATGGCGAGTCATAGATGGTGGCACCGCGACGACCAGAACACGCAGCGGGAAGGGCGCGACGCAGCTCTGGGCTCTGGCGATGTCACCGGCGATGGTGGCCAGGGGGCTTGGGAACGGCCAGCTAAGGCGAAGCTCTACGGCGTGCTCTCGCACAACGAGGCGGCCAGAGTCGGACGGGAGGTGCGCAGCACGGTGGTGGACACGGTGCATCACCGCGCCGACGAGGCGGGGTCCAGAGCGAACTATGGGCTTCTAAGGCCTATAGGCGGTGGCTTCCGGCGTTCCATGGCATGGTAGACATGGACCCGGTGGTTGTGCTACCTCTACCGGGGCTAGACGGCCGGAACGGGACGGCGTCGTGGGTGGCTCCAGCGACGGCGACCGCATGCAGGCTCGGTGTGGCGGCACTAGCGTTCCCGAGAGGGGAGGGCTCGGCAAGGCGGCGCGCGGGCTCGTGCGCGTGTCCCAGTGCGTTCAGTGAGTCGTGAAGCCAACGGCTTGGCTTTGGGCTCTCCCAGGTTGGGAGAACGCGGTGGCGACCATGGCAGGCTCGCCGGCATCGGGGCAACAGAGGGAGGCAAGGCTGAAGGCTCACCGTTAGGCTTGTGGTGGTCAGGGTAGCGGCGCGGTGGCGGGTCGAGGCTACGACGTGTTGCTGCGGTGCCGTGCAGAGCCGCTGCGTCGTCGTAGTCGCACACTGGGTTTGGTTCGGGGGCTTGCTGTAGTCGAAGCAGGGGTTGGTCCCATGGCTTCTGGGCCGCGGTGCAGCTCGGTGTTGGCCATCTGCTGCAGCAGCTCGCTAGAGCACCTCCAGCAGTAACAGCAGCGTCCGGTGACTCTAGCCTGTCCGTGGAGCAGCAAGGTTTGCCTTGGCTTGGGCTGGTGTGTACGTGTGTACGCGCGTGTCCGAGGGCTCGAAGCCGGCCTTGTGCTTCCCCAAGTTGGGGAAACGCGACGGAGCTCATGGTGGGCTCTACGACGGCGAGCAAGGGGGAGTTGGGCGCTCACCGTAGGTGTTGAACGAAGAAGGCTACTGGCGCAGGGCGAGGCGAGTGCAGTGGTGAGTCGTGGCCGTGCAGGGAGAACTGCAGCGCTGCTGTAGCCGATCGTGGCGTCGTCTCCTGCTCCGGCGGCTTCGAAGGTGCTCTGACGGAGCCTCCTTCTTCCTCCTCCCTCTCCCTTCTCTGGCTCGGTGTGAAGTGGTTTGCCACTGTGTGGCAGTGCAAGGCTAGGAGAGGGCTAGGGCCTCGGTTCTAGGGGTTTTATAGCGGGGCTCATCCATGGAGTTCGGTGAACGGCGGATGGAAACCGAGGGGCGATCGGAGGGCCTCTAGCGAGGCTGGGCTAGGGTTCTGGGGCCGCGGCGCGATCGTGGGCGCTTTGGTGCTCCCGAATTTCACAGACCGTGGCTCGACAAGGAGGGAACAGGGGTGGCAGGTGGTGGCGTCATCCATGGCCGCGACCGTTGCGCGCCAGGCGAGCACGAGGTTGGGAGGGGGTCAGGCGTCGTGGTTCATTGACGTGGCACCGATCGGTGCGTCCACGCGGTAGGTGGGCGAGGCGGACGGCAGAGAGGGGGCCGAGGTGCCCTGGGATTCTTCCCATGTGCCGGTGCTCTGCTTTCATAAAAGCAGAGGAGGCGAGGGGGACCTGGGAGAGGGATGACGAGGGTGTCCCGCCCGTCAGCGGCACAGGGCGAGGAAGGGAGAGGCAGGTGTGGGCGAGCTGGGCCGCGGCTTGCTGGGCCGACCGGCTGGCTATGCGCGCGAGCAGGCCGGCAGGTTGGAGAGCTGGGCCGTCTACGGTGCTTGTCTTGGGCCAAAAGGAGGAGGGGGCTCGGCTGGGCCAGCTGAGAGAGTAGGATGAGCTAGGCTAACTTTGGCACCTTGGGCCGAAATGGCTTTCCTGTTTTCCTCCCATTTTCTAATTTCTTTTCTATTTCTTGCTCCATTATATTTACTTCCGAGAGCTCTAGGTTGGTATACATGTGTCGTCTATCATGTGTTCACCCAGGTGGGGTCTACTAGGGTCTACTAGGGTCTACTACGGGTCTCGGAATCCAGTGCCAAGGGTTTGCATCGATGGGCATTGATTTACAAGGAAGGTCGATTGACTTTATGAATTAGATCAAGGGATTCGAATGAGGTTCAAAAGCAAAAAGATGAATTGAGAGAGAGGAAAAGGGATTCATAAGATATTCTAGAAGGGATCAAAAGAATTTGCTACGGACTTGTGCTTTCCAACACAAAACATTAAACCAACAAAAGAACTCCGGCAACCTCCTACAAGTAATTCTATATGCATGCAACAATTTATTTATAAATTGTTCTTAGTTTGCCCTAGCATCTACATGTTTCACACATTGCAGGAAAATTTTTAAAAAGTTCGTATTTTTGACTTCTCCAAAAACACGGGTTGTTACAAGCATGAGCAACCATTTTCAGGAATTCGAAGATCTCCGTTCGCAGCCTGTACCACTACCATACCTCGATATTTTTTGTCCCGTCCATCTGATGATCATTCTCAGCATCACGTGCCAGTGTTCCGCCATTGATGTCAGAGTAGTACTCGGTGAAGTTACTGTTGTATAGTAGCAAACTGATGGTCGAAAACAGAAGAGAGAGTTGTTCAGTGCTGACTGGTTTTGCTTAGCTTCCCATAAAAAAGCTCTTGAGTCCCTACAGTGACTTGTGTATATGCTATGCACGGTTTAGCTACCTCGGTGGCTTGTGTTACTGAAACCTGAATCACAACCATCGACTTTGTACGTCAGATACGACTCTTCAAGTTTGTCTAGTAGTCATTCATATGTGATTCTTGAATTGACCGTAAAATGTTGCTTGTCACAATACCTGAAGAAGCATGACTGATCTTTCTGGCATAGAATAAATGTCTATAGAAAAGCAGTCTTCCTGCATTCGTTGTGAAATTAAAGGATTCATGCACGTTCATCTCGTGCAGGTATCTCGTTATGCTTTTGCTCTTTCGGTGACTTATGTTCATCGTGCAGGTACTTGTGAATGTTTATGTAACTGAAAAGTACGCTAATTCCTGTTACAGTGCATGTGTTTCAGATTGCAAGCATTGCAGCACTTCGCTGAACATGTGTACGTGACCAGACTATAAAAGCTGCCCTATAAAGTAAATCAACAAATCGATGCAAGTGAATGGCAACTGTCCATAAACCATGTCGCGAAAGAACTGTCATCACATAAAACAAATGAACACAAAACCACTTACAGAACGAACCAATACACGGCTGTTTCATACAACTTCTATGCTTCACCATAGTTTCACTCAGCGATCGATGCAGAACGCCAGAACTTCTACACTATCTGGGATAGGACGGAGGATGAAGGGCGAAGGGATTAAATGGCAGACCCATATACTGAGGTGATCTGAATTGCGGTACAAATGGCATTCCTTGGCCTACAGGCCAACCTGGCTGGGCAGGGTAATTGTGAACTCCAGGCATAGCAGCGTAAGGTGGACGCCCAAAGTTTTGGATCTGAGCAACATTCATAACCAGAGGAACAGCAGGTGTCGGAAGCTTAAGAGTAGCTGGCCTTGGCGGTTGCATATGCTGCTGCTGCTGCTCTGTCACTTGCGCCTTATTTTCTTGTTGATGCAGCTGATGTTGCTTTCCTTGGATTAACTTGTTTTCATTCTGTGCCTGCTGCTGCTGGTTGACTTATACCTCATGGTGGTCCAGCTCCTCTTTCTTGCGCTTCTTGTTCCTCTTTTTACGTTTCGTTGGCTGATGCTGTGAATCCCATGTTGAGGGCGTTGAGGGATTTCCTGACCTTTGTTTCTTTTTATATGCACCAATCAAATATCTAATTTCTGCCAAGATAGCACTGTGTTGCCTAGAATCAGCGAGTTTCTGCTCAGCTAGTTGACGTGCAATCCGTATTTCCTTTGGTATAGCCAAGTTCTGCACATAGGCAAGATGCAAAACCATTCAGCTAACAAACAACAAATTTGACTACCCACCTCTTGGTGGGATGGAGTTTTATGACTCCACCCTGGATTGAAATCTAGACACCATATCTATGTACACATGCGTGAGTGCATTCCCCATTTACCAGAGGTATATGGCTTTCTAGTGGTGTGAATCAGATAGGTGGCACACTCATGTGCCATGCAAGTGCGCCAGTGCAGTATGTGTATGTGCTTTCTTCCTTCATTGTAAATGTGAAAAGGAAACAAAAGACAGAAACAAATATAGTTGACAAGAAAGCAGCTTTATTGGATCAATATGCATTATATCTACAATAGAACTTGTTCCAAAATCTGTAGCCAGGTAAAACCACAATGCTATGTAACTTAGAAAGTTATGATTAAGGTGATCACTGAAACAACCCGGTTTCTATGTCCACCAGGATGTGCATCCTGGACACCGTGGCCTTCATCGTAGACGGAGGGAAATAGAGCCATCATTGTCTCGATCCCCACCCAAACCTCCCTCTCCACCCCCCCCCCACACCCAATGTGCCGCATGCACAGTGCCTCCCTCCCTCACCACTCCCACGCCTCCACTGCCCTCCACCACAGAAAGCACTAACCACTGTGCGAGCACAATCCCCCGCCTCCATGCCTGCCCAACAACTGTCCACCGCCGTCTCGCAATTCCCCCCACCGTGCCGGTGACCTACCCGCACCCCCCAGCCATACCTCTACAGATGGAGGCCACCAAGATCCCCAAAACCAAAACCTCGTACCCCAACCTGAAACTATAACCTGCCAGAGTTATTGGAGATCACCGGACATTGAAAAGAGTGAGCTCAACACCCCAGAGGAGGTATGCATTCCCACCCTAAAAAATCTGTCAACAGATGAATAGCGGCCTCAATTTCTCTCCGTCAGAACAAATCTAGACTTTACAGCGTAATGACCTGGATGTCTAGGGTTCACGTTACCCTGGGCGCCATATAATTCCTGTCAGTGAAATATTTGATTTGAGTCACAAGGGGTAGTTCATACCAAGGACTTGTGTGTTTCATTCTTTCTAAATATCTCCACAGAAGTCTGCTTGGCCTTCTCAATGTATCCCTTCAGAAGAGAAAATGGAGGATACTTGTCCTCCAAATTAAAAAATTGTAACAAATGAAAAACTTCGAGATGCTGCCCATTTCCAATCATATAGTCAATTAAATCTGCAGAAAAGATGAAGGCAACAAGAAACATTAATAAGAAGGCGAACCCTTGCATTGCGAATGAGGTACAGGCATGGAGATGAGTGCCTACAGTTCTGTTGAAATCAAACTGAAAATGTAAAGATAGAGGCCAATGTATTTAAAAGTTCAAATAATGGCTAAGCAATAAACATACAAAAATGCATTACAGCTACAGACTAGACAATCAACTGATGTACATACTTGATATACTAAGCAAACTAGAGTTTCTATCCAAATTTACGAGTATATCCATATAAACTTACCACTTGGGTTGATATCAGTTATCACATGAGATGCAATAATGAACAGATTGTCATTTTGGTCACAGGATTCAGACTCTTTCACAGATTGTATTGACAAATGACAGGCTAGCAGCAAAGGAAAGCATGTAAGCACACCTTCACGGAACAGTGTCATGAAGGCACAACACCAAAGAACAACATGGTGAACATAACTGGTGGTGCTTTCTTGAGTAACTTTCGGTTCTCAAGTCTCGGATGTCCCACGTCGCAAAAAAAAAAAAAAAGTCTCGGATGTCCCACATTAGTGACAACTGACAACTATATTTTTCAATACCATCATTCGATGCATATTGTATATATTCTACACTGATCTTTGATACTTACATTGACTATTGAACATAGTGAAAGACAAAATATCCATTGGAATCAACAAAAACCTCCCCTAGCAGCCTTGCACATCCACGCACATGCCCAACAATAAGCACTACTTATATTAATGAAAATTTAGGAATTCAAAAACTAATTTCTTTGGTGTTTGATGTGAAAGTCAGGGCCAAAGGATCAGAATGGTTTGAGACCTACCACCTGGTGGTGTCTGAGATGCTGCTGTCAATGGTGAGCCAACGGTGCTGTGTCTAGAAAGCAGAAACAAAAAGTGTGTGGAGACTAGAAACTTTTACAGTAGTAAATAGTTTAATAACTACTAAATCTTAGTTATGAATAGTTACATAGTATTGGAGCGTTGCAGCCAGAGATCAAACACTTGCATGATCAAGCTGGTATTACTCAGGAATACATGTTAATCGATTAGGCAAAGAAGGATACATAGCGCCAGGTGAAACAAACATGTATGAGTTGTGTCAAATGGTCCTTAGTCTGCATCTTTTGTAGCTTTGCTACTTACACTATCTGCTACCAAAATTTCAAGAAAGTCAAATTTGGAAAATTCACATACCATGGATTAGTACAAAATCAAAAGATGGACCAGAATAGTTCCCTTGTTTCCTACAAATATGATTTCTTGTATTCGGCTATATAGTTTTTAGGTGTACATCTACAATATTCTACCGTGTGGCTACGCAGTGGAAGATTAAAAAAAAAACTAACATGCTTGAACCATAAGAAAACTCTGGATGACATGATCAGATATTAAGCCTTTCCAAAACTAGTCACACTGCATTATATCCACTATGGACGAATAACCTGCTTGCAGGAATGTGGTTTTCTGTAATCAAGCTGTTATGGTGCTATAAATGACATAAAAAAATTGTACCAGCACTTTAAATCAACCTAGTTTATGAAATATTATTGACAATTCACCATAATACCATATGCATGGCCTTCACAATCAAACACATAGATTGAGAAAAAAAAATATAGCTAAGAACAGAGATAGCTTCATACCTGTGGCCCTGTCTGCAAGCCCAACATCCTTGCAAAGCCTGAAAATGTCAGTGTTGTTCTTGTTCTTCTGACCTTTGCGAGGGACCATAGCAAAAATACTGATGATCTCATGGATATTGAATTCAGATACAATGTTATATGAGATGAGGAACTGGAGAAGGCCCCTAGCCAGCGAGTAAAGTTCCCCACAACACTCTGGTCTGCCGATCATTTCCTTCCAATCCTTTGCTACCAGCTTGGCCTGCTCTGTTGTGTCTGCAGAATGTTTGGCAGAGTTCATAGACAACCAACGAAACAACCTGACACATTTCCCCCAGACCCTGGAGCACCTGAAGTCCTTGCTGGATAGGAATAGCTTGACCACTTGAAGGACAAGGGCCGCCGGATCTGAACAACATCAGGGACTGGTGGAAGAAGCTCAGCCTAAGGGCCGGCGAGGGGAGCGACATAGTGGCGAAGCTAGAGCAAATTAGAGGGTGGTGCGCATGCCTTATAGATGCGTAGACTTAAGCCGTAACCATGGTAGAAAATCAATCTACTCAAGGGTACTTTATTTTTTTATGGGTGCATCTGCATCCAGAAGCTTCTATATAGCTTCACCACTGGAGCGACAGAAACCGGACCACAATTATAACTTACACCGTTTGGAATATTTGGAAGGAGTGATGCAAACGAGTCTTCGACAACAAAGCACGCAACACGGAGGAACTCTTAGAAGTGATTCGAAACGACCTAAGACTAAGAATTAGAAACGTAGATTGAAATCTGCTGCTGCTACTTTTCTTTTCCTTTTCCCTCCATGTCTGCTCTGTTCTGTCATCTCGGCTGTGTTTTTTTCTTCTCTTTGTATAGAGTAAGTGTTTTGTAACTTTTGAACCTTTGCTTCTATCTGAAATGAAACGGCAGAACACCTGCCAAATTATGCTAAAAAATTAATTATATATAAGAGAGGCTATACGAAAAAACTAAGCTATTAATTTTAGGTGCTTATTATTGTTTTACAGGGTCTTTTGTACGCTCATCCTGTGAAAAGAGGTTTGCATGTTGTTTGGGGGAGGACTTGTTGCAGGATGACACAAATTCCAGCTTGAGTTCAGTATCTGAATCATGAGTCATTGAGTGTCCACCTTTCTGAAACATATGACACAATTTGCAGCTTATGTTCAGTATCTGAATTACGAGTCTTCCTTTCTGAATCATGGAAAGACCATGCTAATTTCACTGACATCCATGACATGGGTTCAGCTGTACAAGACCTTGAATCAATTATTCATCGTGCTACTAACAACTATAGCAAGGATTTCCCAGTTCATTAGTCACTGCCAATTGCCAAACGTCAAAAAGAGAAGCCATAAAAATTGTATGTAGAAAGAGATACTACTGGCACTTACTGAACGGGATTTTCCTAGGATTTTTAAGGTTTACGTACAATGTTTCTATGGCTTAGATGTTCAATATTTTGATCCCAACAATCGAAGGAAGACCACTATCTCAAACCAAAAGCGAAGGACTACTTAATCATAAAAGGACTGTTTAGGCCCATGTTTACTGACATCGGAGAGTGCAAGAAATTCTTTTCTCCCATTAATTGCAACATGCGGGTATATTTACCACCTATTAATAAAGAGGAAATAGTTTTTTTTGTCTTTCACCGCTCACAACCAGCCAATGGGGATAGGATGATAATGAGAATATATTTGTTGTCATACTTGTTATCCAACGAAAATATTGAAATGAGTCTCATAGGTAACAATTTTAACAAATTGTATCCTCCAACCTTCATCCCAAAATTGTCACCTTGTATACTAGCAACCATTAGTATTTATATTGACTTATGCAGTTACTCAACCACCAAAATCACTATGCTCTTACTAGGGCCCATGTTTCTTACACATACCGTTGCACTACATACTCACTTATAATTAGGTATAAGATGCTATCCTTTTGTAATGAGACTTAGTAATCTTGTTTTGGATATTTTTGGCACTAAATGATTTCAAATGAAAAAAGTTGTAACTAAAAGTGTCAAATCTTGTCGAGCACTACGACTTTAGTATTAGGTGTGTCTCCATTCGAGATTGTTTGAAAATTTAAATCTCAAAATCTGAGAACTTAAAATATACTCTCTCCATTTTAAAATATAAGTCGCTTTGATTTTTTTGGTATATCTATTTTACTATGCATCTAAATATAATAATATATCTAGATATATAGCAAAATGAATGAATCAAAAAAGTCAAAGCGACTTATAATTTGGAACAAAGGGAGTAATTATTTTTAGAAGCGGACCTCTTGAGAGTGCTACCTCTGTTAATCGATTTGTAGAGACGACACTTTTAGGAAGGCCACTTTTGAAAATAACCATTTACAGAGGTAGTTATGTCGTTCCGCATATATTAATGGATTAACATAGGCAGTTTCCTTAAGGTTATTGTCTCCGTATAATAGAGGTGATCTCCTTAAAATGCCCAAAATTTCAGGGCCTGATTGGTCCACGTCCAATATTTACCCAACCAAAATCATGGTAAGCCAAAACTTAGGCTAGCCAAAATTAAGGCTGGCCAAAGCTAGGGCAAAAATATAGGGTACCAATTGGTTGAGTGCCATAACATTGGTAGAGAGCATTTTTTTTTCTCTCGTGCAATTTAAGAAGTTTCTAGAAACTTGCAAAAAATTTGGCCATAAGCATTGGTGTGCCAATCCTTTGGCAATGAACCAAGTGGTGACTAAAAATTTTAGCTTGCCACGATTTTGGTTAGGCAAAAATTGAAAGGCAACCAATCAGGCTCTCAACCTGGTTGTGAGGCGGTCAAATCTGTGCCCAATGGCCTCAAAACCAATGTAGACTGGATCAACCCCTACAATCAGCACCAAACCAACCTTAGACCTAGTCCAACGCCATGCCATCGCCAGGAGCCCATGTCTCAGGGGTGCATCACTTAATAATAAGTTTAGTATTCCAAAAACGTATTAAGTTTTTTTGAAATTATAAGTGGCACACTAATGAAGGATCGAGCAGTCTAGTATTCCAAAATGTATTAAGTTTTTTTTTTAATTAAATGGCACACTAATGAAGGATCAATTAGTCTGTGGTCCTTCGTCCCTAGAACACGTTTATGGACTGAGTAACTCAACTTTTGGGGTATGACAAATTTCGTAAAATTTTATAACTACTCTTAAACTCTCAGACTTTTACCATTTACCATTTCTCCAGCGTAGTAATTATTCTAGACTTATAGAAATTGTGAAATGCATATTGATGAGATTCATATAAATGTAAACAATCATTCAAATATTTCAAAAGGAGCTCCCAATGGTTCAACATGAAATCTAATATGGTATCCTAAATCCGAGGGCTTAATGCAACAAATATGACACATCATTAAAAGAAGATAACATATAATTAATTTTGCGATGGATGTTGTAAAAACACATTTAGATATTGAAATCTTGATCCCCAAATAAAGAATTCTAGATAAGGTTGAAACAAATTTTCAAAAAACACTGACATTATCTGTCGCGCGTCTGGCATAATTTGAATCTCTTTTTTCTTAACTTTTTGGTTTACCTTGAAGTTCTTGTCAAAGTACGTATTCAACTGTGCGTTTCACAAAGAATCTCAAGTGAAAGTGCATTTGCCCCCTATGTGGGTTTTGACGTATTGATGACATTCAAACTAGGGACTAATGTGATCTTAATGAGATATGTCGCAGCAATTAGTCCCATGAAAGATTTAAAAAGTTGATAAAGATGAAATGGTGTCCCTCAATTCTTGAAGTTGAAAAAGGTGTCGAACTCAAAGCGGATCTTTAAGTTTACATTTTATGCTTTTGAGTTTAGATATGCCATACTATAAAGAGGGATTCAAACTTAATTGGTCTGAGGAAGATAGAGTGCTCAAGTGTAAAATTAAAATCAAAGAGAGACACTCTAACACTTTATGAGCACGTAGAATAGTTTTTGGTGACTTTTGGTGTCTAAAGTCCCAACGTAAGCCGGAACTCCCGACCGTCGAAAGTCACGACTCACGCCGGAAGTCTTGACGCCCAGTCACTTAGCTTGCGTTGTGACTGCGGCTGTCGGAAGTCCCGACGTGAGTCAGAACTCCCGACAGTCGGAAGTCCTGACCCAAGTCGGGAGTCACGACACCTGGACTTAGCTAGCTGGCTGACTGCCCCCGTCGGAAGTCCCAACGTACGTCAGGAGTCACGACCGTCGGAAGTCCCGACTTAGGTCAGGAGTCCCAACACCTGGCCACCTGGATGCCCTGTAGACCATGCGTGTTGGAAGTCCCAACGTACGTCGGAAGTCCTGACCATCAAAAGTCCTAACGTGCGCCGGGAGTTCCGACGTTGACGTGTTCGTAATGACTTTGACATTGCATGAGTAGTGTTTTCTTTATAGGTCGGAAGTCCCAAGATCTACGTCGGAACTTCTGACGTAGATCTGAATGGTTGGATTTCTACCTTGAGTATAAATAGCTCTCTTCTCTCTTCTAACCGTTACTCATTCATTACAACCCACTCACGGCCAAAACAACTCTCAAGCATTTAAGACTCCCCTCTCCTCTCCCCTTCGCTCCAATCTTCGATCCCCCTAGAGTTTTAAGTACAAGGAGAGTGGATTGAGTGAGAGCATCACTTTGGCAAGCTTGAGCACTCGATTTTTTCGTCAAGCCGGTTGGATTTGTGTCTATTACTCTTGGGGCTTTGCCCCTAGCCGGCTAGGCATCGCCCAAGAGCTTCTATCTTATGGAAGAGCCTAGGAAGTTTGTATTACCCTCAATTTCTTAGTGAAAACCTCGAGTGACCTTTGTGGTTGCCTTGAGAGAGGCAAGGAGGTGAAAGAGATTCCGACCTCTGTGGTCACCTCAACAACGAGGACATAGGAGCTCTTTTGTGGGGTTGCCAAACCTCGGGATAAATCCTTGTGTCCCACGTGCTTATTGTTGTTGAGACTTGTGCTATCACTTTTGTTCTTGTGTGTCTCTTCCTCCCCAAAGATTTTCTTAGGGTTTGGACTCGATCTATGGAGTGGTGACCTTTTCATGTCAAAGGAGAAACCCCAACACGTTACCTTACTACTAGGAAGTGGAGTTGTAAGTTATCGAAGTCACAAAGTTCATTTTAGCACTTGTAGTACATTTTTCGTAGGCGTCGGGACTTCTGATAGTTTACACCGGAACTTCTGACGACATCAGGAGTTCCGACACAAACTGTCAGGACTTCCGACAGTTGCTGATAAGTGACTTTGAGTTTTATGTAAAATTTTTAGATACACCTATTCACCCCCCTCTGGCATTGTTTAGATCCTTTCAATTGGTATCAAAGCAAGGTCTTCTTTTAGCACTTTACCGCGTGAGAAGAAACAATGTTGGAGTCCGACAAGACGCAAGCCGATGTCACTAAGATGGCCAAAAAGATAGCTGAAGAGTTGATGGCTGCTCAAG